TTCGAATACCTTTTCATAGAAACTAGATAGAGAGGTTCGGTTTTCACAGTTTAAAAGAGGAGATGAAACTGCATCGAATAGTTTATGTCAGATTTTTCTGACCAGTTTTCTCAGAATCTCACGAATTTTTTTGAAAAAATCCAAGTTCTTGAATAGGTTTATAAGGTTGATTTTTTTTAGTTGAATAATGAGAAAAACGGTCAATTTTCTATGAGAATCTGTCCATAACATGCAGCAAAATATATATAACTCATGATTGGTTAAAGCTTACAACATAGGACTTAGAGGAATTTATAGATCTTCAGCTAATGATTCTAGTGCATTTCTGAAAATTGAGATCGTAAAACTTTTACATTAAATAATTTTTTGTGTTTAATAAACTTGATACTACACTCGAAGAAAACTTGTCAGAAAAATCTGATATAGACTATTCAATGCAGTTTCATCTCCTCTTTTAAACGTTCAAAACTGAACGTCTCTATCTGGTTTCTATCAAAAGTTATTCAAAAAGTACTCACCCTTTTTCTTTTTTGAAATGGGTATTAGTAGTTTAAATTCAAAAATAGATATCAATTATTTTCTTTGTGGTTTATATTTCAGAATAAAAACAGAATTCTAAGCAGAATTATGTTTAGTGTCACAAGGTAAGAGTATCTATTGGAGCACAATTATGCTAGAAAATCAGAATTTTGCTTGAATTGTGCTGGAAAAATAAAATACTGACTAGGGAACATTCTCAAATGTCACATCGCTTTTGAGTCGAGTGTATGCGCATCATATAGACCAAAATGATCTATGAATACTCTGAAAAAAGTTCGTGCCGCTAGCTTATTACTGCCGAGATATTGCATTTTTACTGTATGTATAAGTAAAAAGCCGTGGTCCCTCTCAGGAACACTAGGAAAATTGAGTTTCGAATTTCAACTTGATACTTTGTACAGAAACAGGTCTCAATGAGAATAGTTTATTGTGAAAGTTTAAGATCTTTTGATTGCTCCTACTCTGAAATAAGAACATCAGAATCTGCTGGTGTGTATAAGCTATTTTACCATAGCTGTATCTTAGGGTAGGAACAACGAAAAGATCTGAAACTTTCACAATAAACTATTCTCACTAAGGCTTATCTCTGTGGAAAGTTTCAAGTCGAAATTCTAAACTTAGTTTTTCTAATGTTCCTCAGGGGAACCACAGCTTTTTTTCTTAAACATACAGTAAAAATGCAATATCTCGGCAGTAATAAGCTAGCGGCACGAACTTTTTTCAGAGTATTCACAGATCATTAGGACCTGCAGAATGCGCATACACTCGACTCAAAAGCGATGTGACAGTTGAGAATGTTCCCTCGTCAGCAGAGTTTTGATTTGTATGCAAGAAGAAGTGTGTAGGATCTTAAAAAGTTCTGATACAGTTTCAGAATTTTGCTTGAGTTCTACTGGAAAAACAGAATTCTAAGCAGAATTATGTTCAGTATTTAAAAGTAAGTATAAGCCTTCAGGTATAATTCTGTTAGTGACTCAGAATTCTGGTTTGATTCTGCTGTAAAAACAGAATTCTTAGCAGAATTTTCATTTAGATACATCAATATGTATGTAGGGTCTGTCAAAATTCTGATAGTGAATCAGAATTGTGCGTCAATTCTACTAGAAAAATAGAATTCTAAGCAGATTTCTTTTTGGTATCTAAAAGTAGGTATGCATAAGGCAGAATTCTTAAGTTCTGCTTGTGGAGGATTCTACTGGCACTCTTCAATCGTACAAGTTACACCATTTAGATAGGAAAAGTCTGACTATTACCTGTTTAAAAAAACACAATGGCCGTGAGTATTTATGCAATAACTAAAGACTGGGAAGAGCTATAGAGCTGCGGTTTTCACCAGTCAAAAGAGGAGATCTCGAGGCGTCTTTTTTCCAATATTATATAAGACGAAATCATTTTAAAATCAACCATTTTTACAAAACATCGAAAACATATATAAAAATAATTTATCATTCAGATCAAATTTTGATAAAAAGTAAGAAAATTTGCTTAAAAATTAAAAGAAATTCATATTTTTCGAAAGACTAAATAGACAATTTATAGGCTTAACATTAGGATGTGTAAAGATAATCGTTTAAGTTATATCTTAAACTATGGATCTGAAGTTCATCTATCTAAATCACGTATTAATATGAAAATTTCATCTGAATAACAGACTGTTTTCATATATTCTTTTGCAACGTTTTGCAGAAATGATTGATTTTAAAATAAATTTGTTTTCTATAATATTAGAGACAAAGACGTCTAGATGTTTCCTCTTTCGACTGGTGAAAACCGCAGCTCTGTAGTACTTTCCGTTCTCGAGTTACTGCATAAATACCTGTGACCATTATTTTTTTAAACAAGCAATAATAAACAAGTTATTTTTTTAAAATTTACTCCAAAGCATGTTAAGGCAATAATTGAAAACTTCTCTTCTCTTAAGGTCATCCTTCCACTTAAAAATCGATCTTGGACCCAGTACATTCAAACCACATGAGATATTCAGAACATGTGGAAGTAGCAGAGGATACGATATGGTACAATTTTCAGTCCTATGTCATGACTTTTTCGAGAGGTATTGAACAAACAAGAGTACAATATAACTCATTTGACTACTCAAAATTGTCTAAAGGCCTTCATTCTATATATGGTGCTCGAGATTCACAATTTTAGTAAATTTTATTTTCGATTTATTTAGTGTTGTTGGGTAAAGCACGTCGAACTACCCATGAACAACTACTTTTCCAATTTTTGGAGACAAGTTGTTTCCGGAAATATTGGGAAAAGAATACTAAATTCTCAATATCATTAATTATCATTGTCCGTTATCATAGATATGTAAAAATTTCATTTTTTTTTCACTTTGTAGAATATTATAGAAGTTATTTCCTGATTCTATAGACGAAATCGACCAAAAACAAATTTGTACACAGAAGATTTTCTTTTGGTCCATTTCATCTACAGAATCAAGAAATAATCTTTATAATATTTTACAAAGTGAAAAAAGCATATTTAGATATCTGTGATAATGGACGACTCTAATTATGATATTTAGAATTTAGTCTTTTTCTCCAATATTTCCAGGAAAACTAGTTTCCAAAACATTGAAAAAGTAGTTTTTCATAGGTAGCTTGAAGTGTTCTATCCAATGATACTAAATAAATCGAAAACAAAAACTTACTGAAATGTTGAATTTTTGGCACGTTACTTACTAGTTTTTGTTTGAAAGAGTATGTGTGAATGCAGGATATGACATAGTCCACTCTCTTTTTCAAATTCTTACTTTTTAAGCAGAGAAAATGGATTGAAAGTTCATAGTCATGTAAAACGCAAAAGAAATGAAGTTCTAATAATAAAAGTATTCTGTTATATAATAGTGAAACTATCATGTCGTGCATGTTGACATACTCTTTGAAACAGTAAGAAAAATATGATATATAGAATTAACACCCACACAGAAGTGTAAGTTGTACGATCAGAAAAAACACATAAACAAAGAAAAAGTAACAACGGATTTCCTGCTCTTTCTTTAAAAAGAACATCTTTCAAGCAGAAAATGATGGAAGTCATTTAAAATTTTTAGAAAAAACGCGATGCCAAATAATAAATCATGTCGTGTATGAAAGATTAAATCTTGGACTATCTAACCCTGCATCTATCTCAGTTTTTTATCTTTTGTTTTGATGAGAATTGACTTTTTTTTAAGGGTAGCGTTACCTTAAACAAAAGTATTCATAACTATGTCGAGACCACCAGCATCAAGAGCAAACAGATCTTTATTTTTTTTGGAAAAATAGAAATTCGCAATTTAATAATTCAATAGATGTTAATTTCATAAATTATACATCACCATCGAAAAATAGTTGAAAAGTTCAGCAAGATCAGAATTAGTATGCAAGACAAGCGATAAATGCATCACAACATACAAAGTGAAAGTCGATTATTTATTAAAGATCACAAAAATTACAATATTTAATTTAAAATAAGCATATATATATATAAAACATGAGAAATATAAGTCGATTGTTTTCAAATAAAATAATTCTAGAAGCATTGTAACTACTTAAATTCTACTTAATATCCAGAGTATAAGTTTCATTCAAAGTTGATTAGTATCATGATTCATATCGAATAGCACTTACAATCTAATTTGTATTGATTATTGATTATTTTCATTTGAAAACCTTCAATTCTTTTTTTTTTCTAAAATTTTTACTAGAATCAAAGAAAAGAAGTAAGTAAACATTTAATTTATTTCATCGAGAAGCCATGAAAATATTTTTTAGATATTGATAAATTTAATACATAATAAACTTTGATCATTTTTCTTTTGTTGTTTAAGTTAGGAGTGCAACAAATCCAAATCTTGAGATTTGATATTTTCTGGTTTGGATTTGCTATGATTTTATAAGATAAAGCATCATTAAAAATGTTCTACTATAACTTGGTATATGCAGAAAAAGATTTTTGGATTTGAAACAAAAACCTTCCTATTTGTGTTTGGGTTTGCTTCTGGGTAAAAATAAGATTAATAATTCGAAATTCCATAAAGCTTATCAAATTGGAAACTATTTATGTAGATTTGATTCCAAAGCAAATCTATGCCTCAAATTCAAACTCAAATATCAAGACTTTCGTCCTCAATTCCAAACTCAAAACTATTTCTTTTTTCTAATTTAATTGTCTATTTCTCAATAGAAGAAAATTGAATCGACTCAAATTTTGCTTGTTTAAAACTAAATGAATCAAGTTCAGTAAATTAACAAAATTTATCAACTTGACTTCGATATAGTGTTCAAAAAAATTTTAAGATTATCTTTCCATTTCGTAATTGTTTAAAAGAATTCTCTATCTGATAAGTATTGTTAGAGGATAATCTGAATGGAAGAGCAGAATCTTATTTATTTACATATTGAAATTATATCTCAATAGAAATGAATTGAACATTCTGTGAATTAATGCCATAGATTGTATTTTACCTAATGAATCTCAAGTTCAGTAAGAGAATCTTTTGACTCAATTTGCTGTTTGAAGACACCAAAAATTTCTAATTTGTTCTATAAATAATCAATCATATTTCTTTGGAATCTGAATCAATAGTAAAGTTGATTATACGATGGAACATTTGATCAAATGACTTAAGAAGCATTACAATTAGTTTTTTGTGTTCAATAAATATTCAGCGTTTTACCATTTTACCCAATCACTTTGTTTATTCTAAAATGATATTCTAGCCACTTGACTGTTAAGTTTTGCAAAACTATCTAGTAAGCTTTTTTGTGAAAACAACTTTTGATACACAGAAGCGTAATCGAATAATCGATATGAAACATCAGAATCGGTAGAATGAGCTCCAGTAGGTGCAAGATGTTAGAGTCGACACATAGCATACAAAGAAAATAGAGTTAAGGAATCGTAGTTTTCATCGTTTCCATAAAGATTGCTTTGACGAGTATACTCGTCGTTAACAGTCAAGTGGTTAAATTATTTATTTAGGTCAAATTAAATATATAACGCGTTGGATAAGTGAAGGATATGATATTGGCTCATTTTCATTACCTCGTTCATTTTCTATCGAAAATTATCTTCGTTTATTTCTTGCTTTATATGATAGATGTAAATGGTCATCAAATAATACAATTCGTACTTTTAAATATTTATTAGAAAATCGACATCAACATCAAAATCTTTTTCCATTAAATAAAGAAGAAAAATGGTTAATTGATTTGGCTATTTCAAAAGATATTGAAAAAGAATTGTTTATAGAAAAACTCCTAAAAGAAGGAAATGAAGATAGTCGTCGATTATTTGAAATGTATTCTCAATTAACAACACCACTTTCTCTTCATTTAATATCCCAATATGAACGTCATGGAATAATTCAAGATAAACAACATTTATCATTCTTTCGTTATCAATTAATGACAGAAAAGATTTTTCCTCTTTTTTTATCTTTATTTAAAAAAACAGGTTCAGATGTTAATCAACGTCAACTAAATGATTCATTTTTTTTTCAATGTGCTTTATCAACTAATGAACAAATTATTATTATTGAATATTTCTTAAGTCAATTATCTTCATCTAATATAAGATTTACTTTAGAAATTTTACCATATAATATTCATTCAATTATATCTATTATTGATATTGTTATTTACCATTTACAACAATCAACAAATACTTTACAAATTATTATTTCTTATGGAATATATTTACTTCAATCGACTGAACATCATCCAAATAAACAACAAAGAGAAATCATTCAACGATTTGCTACGAATATAATCAAACAGTAAGATGAATATATCCAATATATTCAACTTAATATAAATCTATCACATAAGATATCATTTCAATTATTGAGAGATTCAATGTCGACGATAAGATAGTCGACCAGTTTAACTATTAAACTAGTGGCTAGTTTTCTTCCCATTGAATTCTATAGAATTACAATGTATGTTTTATCTTTCGCTATTTTCTAATTAACTAATAACCATATTAAAAAAAACACGAAAACTTTCTTTTGATTTTCAAAAAGGAAAATTTAGTTTTTTTTTGTTAAATGTCATTTAATGAACACAAATCATTATTTAAATCAAGGAGAAAGAATAGAATTGAAAAATTTGAAAAACATCATAAGATTGAATATACCTGATAGAAACTTGAAATGTGAGGAAATAATCGAATTTTATTTGATATTATCGAAAAGAATATATTCATTTAATTTAGATGTTATGGAAAGAGTAATAGTCTTACTATTCATACATCATCCATAGGTGAATCTTATCCTGAAACACGTCTTATATTTGCATATATTCTTATATCAGATCTATATCCAAAATTAGTTTCAAAATCAATATTAGATGAATTAAATAATTCATTAAATTCACCCATTGTCAAAGCTTGGCGTTTACCACAAATTGATTCATTTATTAATTCGTTTTTTACTAAATCTCTTTGTTCATCAACAAAACTTCAATCATCATTTAAAAGCAATATACATTCTTCAATCATATCATTTTATTTAAAACAAAAATCAACTCGATTCGAACGAGTTAATCAATTAATTAATAATATTCATCGAATTTTTTTTATTGATCAATATATTCAACGAATTGTTTTACGTTCTCAACAATATCGACAATTCATTGATCATTTAATTCAAGATAAATCTCTTACTGTTGACAAATTATCAAATGAAGAATGTAAACTTGCAGTAGCATTAACCCCTGAAGCAAAAAATCTCAAACAATTTGGATTAAATAATATGTCCGATTTCAGGACATCAGTAAATAACCATTTTATTGAAATAAATGAACAATCATAAATCTCAATCAATTAAAATTGTTATCCTCCGCTTCTTCATTTTCAATATCAATATCGTTGAGTTGCTCTTTGTCTTCTTCTTTCTTCTTCAGCGAATTGTAGACTCTGCCAGCTAATCGAAGGAGCTCTACGGTCGGATTCAGATCTTGTATATAGCATTGCTTCATGAACATGTATTTTGCCAAATGAGATGCGAAGAACTCTTTCTTGCGATGGTACTGAGGCATGACGACCTTTGGGTGTCTGCGTGAGCTTTCGATGGAATTGGTGCAAGCACCTGTGTCGGAATCCTTGAATATGACGGAATGGTTGACTCGAAGATGCTCATAGCCCTCACTACTCAAAACATCGTATGGCTTCCAGCAGTCGGAGATGATTGTTGTGCCAGACAGGATCTATTCTTTAATAATTGGAAGCAGTATTTCTCTATCTCTAAAATTTTAATAATTAGCTGTCTTGCTATTAACTAATATGTTGTTCTAGTATAGCAAACCTCTTCTCAACGGGCATCATAATCACACGGTCTGTTTCTCGCTCAAACATGCTGATAAACCCATTGGCCTTCCACGTGATGCCCTCGATAATATTTTCGATGTCCGAACTTAGATTCATCGATTTCCACCACGGTTTCATGACCACCAAGTTGTTGTTTGTTCATCATCATTGCGTCATAGATCACTTCACGATAGAATGAGGCCAAGTGTACCGCAGTTCTGATGGAATCTATTTCAGCTTGAGAAGCTAAATAAAATGGTAAAATTAACAAAATCAAGTGAATCCATCAATAAATAGAAAATCTTACAAATGACAGTTAAAGATACATTCTCAACCCACAAATTCACGAAAATCAAAATCTGCCAAATATGAAGATGTGATCGGGCGAAGAAGGGTGCCTTTTCGAAATGACACTGAATAGTCACACCTCTGTCTTCTCTTCCTCTTTTTCGATGTTCCATCGCCAATCTGAACAGGATTATAACATCGTCAGCGAACTCCGTCGATCCTAAAAAATGCTAAATATACATAAAGCCAACAATACCTACTAAAATATGATAGCTTACTGTGAAGAATCCGAACGAAGAGTCAATGGGCGGTTACATCGAGGGCACATGTAATCTGATGCCTTCGAAATCAGCTGCTACTCTTGTAGTTGTTGTATGGATGCTGGAACTCCTCTCTCTCCACTTCCACATAAGTTGAGAATGGTTCGAATATTTAGAGGCATATCTAAAAGAATTATCACGAACAAAAATCAGAGGAAATATCAGTATTATAAAAATTTGAGAAAAGAGTTCCAGAATAGATTGTGTGTTGCTGACCACCAAGTTTTCTTTTCTGTTCTATCGTTTTCAACACCTAAGAATCTCTTAGAAAACAGAAAATCTAAAAAAATCGAAGTGGGTCAGTAAAATTGTTCCAAATTTTTCTCATTCTATCTATCATCACCAACCAGATATTGACAAGAAAACATTTCGATCAACATGATCAAGCACAACTCACCTGTTCGTAAAAAATCTTAGCACAACACATGTCTACTCAACTTTTGCCCGTTTATAAATCATTGAAAAGAATCAAAAATTGTCAGCTAGAATAAGAATTTCATGCTCTCTATAAAAATATATATTGAGAATTTCTTTTTGGCTTAAAATTGACTTATTTAGAGCAAATCTTCGATGAGTAGTAAAAGATGATGTCTGTACAGAATTCTTCATGCAATGTGTTTTAATGTTCTGATTAAAACTACATTAATTCAAACTATAAGAGGTTGTGGATTTGGCTACCTGTGGGCTGACACCCACGCACATCCATATCTTGTCATTATCATTCGGTAGTCATAGAATAAAAATCAGTTGTTTATACGCGTTGTATATTTTCATTAATTTTTTGTTTATTTAGTTTTAAATTATACAGATATAACAAATCAACACAAAAAGAATGAAAAATTAGACTAAGTTATTGCGGGTGTTAATTTCAATGGTTGAATACATGCACTTAAATGTTTAACAGTTATTTCAATCGTTGAATGAATTTCCTCATCATCACATTTAACTTCCTATAAAATTAAAAAATCAAAATAGAACATTCAAAATTTAAAAAAAAAGGAAATTTTTCAAAATAACAAACATACAAATGATTCGAGATCAATTGCTGCTTTTTTATCATCAATTGTAACACATAATTGTTGTTGATCTTCAGACAAAGTAACCATTGTTGAACCATACATTTCGCTTAATGTTTCTTGTAAACATTCTCGAACATGTTTTTTATTTACTTGAATCGGTGTATCTAAATAATTAACAGATAATGCGGGTGTATACAAGATTTCGGATTCTTGACAAGTCACTAACGACTATTTGTCTTGGATCACTCGTCCGATAGCATGCTGACCTATGTTGTGATGTACATCTGCTCTTGTGACTAGTATATGATTAGTTAATGTGTATGGAAAGCTCAAGCAATTGAGCGCAAGAACTCTCCATCAAGCCGGTCTTATGGACAGGACTACAGCTAGTATTAGTTGTAGGAAAGGTATTAGGCTATGCAATCTGTTGCTATACGACATCAAATACCGTAAGGTAGTCGAAAGGTAGAGGTATTCTTAAATTCTTGGGCTAATCTAAAAAAGTAGGTCACTTAACAAAATCCTAAGCTCATTATTCTTGAGAGCAAATTTGTGACTTTTCTTTACTGATATTCAATAGTTTTCGAGCAGAATAATTTCCATTTGACTTAAAAGAAATATCATATTTGAAATCAGTACCAAAAAAATGAGCCAACTTATGTGCGTTTCAAGTTTTTCCTGGTGCCTTGCTTTTTTGTTCAAATTTGTACTTCTGGTTCCCTCAGAGAAATGTAAAACAATGAATTTAGTTGAAACATCTATTTTATTATTTAGGCACCTGTCTTGTTGTCTTCCAATAGTATTTTACAAATTTCCAGCGTTGCTTCTGATTGTTCAAATGAGTTTTTGATTAAATTCATTTTTTTCAAATATCCCTGAGAACGACCAAGGGTAAAAATTGAGACAGAAAAACAAACTGCCAGGAAAAACGTGAGACGTACAGAAGTCGACTCATCTTTTATTGTGCTGATTTTAAATATAATATTTCTTTGAAGCCAAACGAGCATTATTCTGTCCAAAAACCGTTCAATATCAGTAAAAAAAAATGTCACAAACTTGATCTTAAGAATAGTGAGCTTTGGATTTTATTAAATGGTTCACTTTTGTTTTAGATTCTTGAAAAATAGCTAGTTTTTACAGAGTTTAGAAGGTTAAATCGATTGATACATAAGAGAAATTGAGTTGAATTTACTTTTAAAGAAAATCAAATATATAAATCTTATGAAAATATCTCATCAATGATAACTTTCAATAAAAATTTCATTGTATTATTTGAATGTTTAAAATTTATCGTCATGAAAACGTCAAAAGTCATTAGCGATAGGGACTCTTATGGATGTACGTAAAGATTATCTTTTAACGTTCACATGATATCTACTTCAGAAACTTTCATATCACGAAAAATCAATAACGATAAAATAAATAAACTATAGAAAAAAAAATTGTTAATTCTGACCTGTATTTCCCGGACAATCGCCTGATTCTGTTTTAAGAATAACTGTAACAACAGCATCTGCATAAACATCATTAACAGGACTTGATTCCCACTAAATAATCCACTAGAAAAATAATAAATCTATATGAAATAAAAATCTTACTTCGAGTACAAGCATTTTATTTTCAAGAAAAATATTAATTGCACCAAATACTCGAATACCCGGCTTTTGTTTATCACCAACTTGTTCAAGTTCACCAGCTACTTGAGATAAATTTAATACCAAAGATCTATTGAAATCAATAGTAGAAAATAGCACAATCGCTACGGGATTAAAATGGAAAACACAATGTAGCTCAACACTCATTTTAGATTGTGTTTCACAAAAAGACACTAGAAAATTACTCCTCAATGAATATTTTTTTTTACCTCGGTGCAGCTGTAAATGGAATTCCTAAATGTTGTGTAACAGTAGATCGTGTTAATGTTGTATAATCTAAAAAATAATTATTTAATTATTTAAATATATTTTTTATATTTGAATACTTTGTAAATCTTCTGGTGCCATCATATGTAATTTAAAATTTCTTCGTACTAATATTCCACTAAGAATATTTCCTTCAGCTGGTTTTTCAGCTGCTAATTGTCCAACAACTTTAGCCGTTTTTTCACCACGAAAACGAAGCTCAACTGATTGAGTATTTTTCGGTGTATAAACTAATAATTTACATTCGGGATCATCTTCAAATTTTCTTATTAAATGTGAACGTAATCGATTCATTTCAGTACTTTCCCCATGAACAAGTATCTAATATTAAAAATATAATAACAAATAAAAAAATATTGAATTATAAAATTTCTTTCCTACCACATGTGGTGGTCGAAGTTCACGAATAAAATCTGTTGTTTGATTACAATCTGTATGAGCAGAAAATGATATATAATCAATAGAACATTTCAATGGTAATTTTTGTCCACCCATTGTTGTTATTTCTTCTGGTTCAGATAAAATCATCTAAATAATGTCAAAGAAATTTTTGGTTTTTTTTTATCTATTAAAAAATTTTACTTTTGCAAGTGTTCCTTCAACACAATAACCAGCAATAATAACTCCATTACGTTTATCAGTACACCAACATTCAAACAATTCTCTACTTAAACCACTTTGCATCATTCCTGGACTAGCCAAAACAACACAAGGACCAATATCATCAAAATCATCGATTGTCTAAATTATTTTACAAAAAAAAAAACAAAACAAAACAAATTCAACTTTTAAATATTTCTTATCTATACTTTAAGACTAGCAATATGTTTAAATTTAAATGGATTAGAAACAGCACTTTGTTTACGAATTTTATCGTTCATTGCATCAATATATGTCTGATATACAGCCATACATTTTTTTGCTAAAGATGATGCATAATAAATTGGATATTCATGAAGTTCAGGATGTGATGACCAATATTCATCTATAGTAAGAAAAAAAAACAAATTAAAAGAAAAAGATTATTTAATATCATAATATAAATTAATTATACCGAGAATAAGAAGAAGTTCTTGTGCACGACCAAGAGCAAATACAGGTATAAGACAACGACCACCACGTGTAACTATATCATTAACAAGACGAGTAAAACGATTTTCACGTTGTTCACGTGGTTCATGAACATGAACACCATAGGTTGCTTCCTAAATATTATTTTAATTAATTCAGAAAAATTTCTAACCATCAATTTAAATTCTGCTATACATATCCATTATATTTATACGAGCTCTCAATTAGAAGTCCATAATCTATCTGTATACGCCAACGCGTATTAGGAAAAATTTTTTTTGATTTGGGAAATGTTCTTCTTATAGCAATAAGAATACAGGCTTCGTACACAGCTTCTATGATTTATTTATTGATAGGAAAGTATCGAATCAATTTTTTCTTTTATGTAACTGTACAATGCATTACATTATGGAATGAAAATTATTTCTATTAATGCATGATCAATAAAGATTAGTTTTTTATATGAATTTTTTTAGATGTTAAGTAAATTGATTTCTTCGAATGTGAGAGTGAAAAAAAGGGAATTCGGTTCTTCCTTTATTTTGATATCAGAAATCTTTTTTCGTTTTAGCAGCAGATTCTACATCTCTAATCTCAACACACTATAATATATCTCGATATGCTCGAAAACATTGACATTGATTATTTTCAATAGTTCTAACTTGATCAATTTGCATATTTTTATGTTGATCATATGACGACTGTACACAGACTTAAATAAAATGAACTCAAACTAATATGCTCGTGACACAAGACATCCTTAAAGTACGGAATTTTCGTTTTTTCTCCCTTAATCACTACCCATCATCCTTGACATCTTGAATATAAATTTTTATCTGCGCAAAAATCAAGAACTACATTATTTAGAACATTCATAGCAAGGAAGTAAGTGCAGCACCTGAGTACCAAATATTGTTCTTGATTGTTACGGAAATTCGTACAACCATCATTGGCCTCCCACGGTTACTATGGCCTAAGGAGGGAGGGAGCTACAAAAACCTCGATTTAAACTTACTATTTTCATCGAAAATGTGAGTTCTACAAAATAACTTACAGTAACAAGTACATCTGGTCGAAGATTTGGTACTTCTGCTGCCATTAAATGTCGATCTTCTTGACGTGAAAAATCTCCTGTATATAAAATCTAAATATATATATATATATATATATATATAAAACAATAAATCAATAAACTATATTTCATATAATCATCATTTACTTTAACACCAGCTATTTCAATCATAAACATAGCTGCACCTAAAACATGACCTGCATGATAACACCAAAATTTAATACCATTAACTTCAATTTCCTAGAAAAACAAAATATGAAAATAAAAGATCCTTTTCTTTTAAAAAACTCATACTTGATGAAAATTAACTGTTTCAATACGTGGCATACTTGCTATTAATTCAGCTTCGGTGTAAAGCATTTCTTCTGCACTTACATTACTAGAAAATAAAACCATTAAAAAAATAAAAATTTTTAACAAAAAAAAAAGCAATCTAAACTCAACCTAACACGAATACAGTCTGATAAAAGCCATTTATAGATTGCTTTTGTTGCATGAGTCATAAAACAACGACCTTTAAAATTAGTTTTATTTAAAAACCAAGGTAATGCACCACAATGATCAAGATGAAAACTAAATATTTTCAAACAAATAATAAGAAGAAACAAAAGAGAAAATAACCAATTCCTTACTGACTAACAAGTAATAGATCAAGTTCTTCTGGATCAATATTATCAATAAATGGAAGTGCAGTACGACCAGATAATCCTGGATGAATACCAAAATCAAGCTGAACAAAATACAATAAAAAATAGAAATTTGTTGTTTTTCTTTCATCAATAACTCACTAAAATTTTTTTTCCTTTAAATTCTAAATAAATGCATGATCGACCAACTTCTTGTCCAGCACCCCTAATTTATTTTGTAAATTAAAAATCAAATGAAAACAAACAAAACAAACTTACAATGGTCGAATAATTAATTTATCACTATCATCATTAAATGGTTCTTTTCGTTTATTTGACATTATTAAAAATCTTTGATGCGGTTACCAGAAAACAAAATTCTTTGAATATTAAGGAAAATATTTTATTAAACAAAAACAAAACAAACATCAACATACAATTAAATTCTTTTATTATTGCAAAATTAATCTTTTCTTTTTTTAAAGATTTAAATTTATCTGAAATAAGACAAAGAATTTTTCTATTTTTTTCTGTTTATTGCATGACACTTGACTAGATAAACGTATTTTTATTGATAGAAAAGAAAAAAATTGCAGTGATATAGGTCATGGTTTTCTTGTGCTCTAAATATCAAAATGAATAAAGGAATAAACATCAATTGTATAAATATGAGGAGAATAACACAAAAAGTCATTTCAGATCATTCTTTTGTTGGGGCTTTTTTTCTTTGAAAATTATTCATGCTTTTTAGCTATGCCATTTTGTCGAGATCGTTTTGTTGTTGATAATTCATCATGTAATTCTTTATGTTTGTTATCAAATTGTTGTTTACGTCGTTTAGTATCATTACTTCGAGTTATATATTCATGAATATAAAAATTCGTGAAAAGTATCAACATAATTATCATATAACCACCTAGCATCCATGATCCCCTACAAATAAACACAAAAATAAAAATTAACAGTAAAATAATTAATAATATTATACCAAAGTGGATAATTACAACCAGTAAAAATTGCATGAAATGTATGAATGAATATAAGAACAAATTGAATCTAAATTTAAAAAACAAAACAAAACAAAAGACTATTTTATATTATATTGACTTCAACTTCGGAACGATTTTTTTCTATATATACTTCTTTTTTGCACTATTTGTTAATGTGTGAAAGAATGAGAACCTATCAGATGATTAACTATCAAAATCGAAGAAGATCAATGTCTAATCGATTGTTGTTTAGTTTGAAATTACACTACATGCTCATGATAACAAACAAGATGAAAAAAGTCCAACAAGCATGACAAGAGAGAAAGAAACAATTCAGGTGACATGAAAGTAGATCACTGTCGGTTCGGATCCAGCAATTTAGTTTCTATCGAATCAAGGTGTAAGAATGGATCACTGCGAGTCTTGTTTATCCATATCTACACTCAAAGAATGCGCTGCGAAAGAAACATGCAGTAGAATGAAAACATCACAGTATGAATCTTGGTCATCTCATGGCAATGAGAATGTTTATATGATTTTTTTTTTCTTTTCTTAAAATTTATTTATGAATCTATAGAGTATTGCATTTTTGTTCATTACTTAACATATGAAGAATAAATTTGTTGCTATGTACGTGTAAAAGTACTTGACTGTATTACTCTAATGTAAGTTCAATATTGACTCAGAAAAAATTTCTTTTAGTTTCTTCGAGTTCGTCGAAATTCGATGAAGAACTCTATTGACAAATGTTTTTCCTGTATTCTACATTGTATTCATTGTTTGATGTTAACTCGAAATTTATCACAAATATGACTATGAGTAGTTTATTGCATTATAGTCTATAACTTGTCAATATTTGCCTGAATATTTTTGACATTTGCTGCCGTCTCTCCTCGCTTCTCCAAACATAGGAAAATTTTTTCACAAATCCCAACTGTTTTAAGAAAAATCTAGCCTGCAATATAAGGCCATTATCTTTTATTCTGGGAGGTGAGAGATTAATTATTTACCTCCTTTTAACATATCTAAATCCGTTTAATTGAAAAAAAAAGACACAATCAAATGATTCTTATATTCACTCCCCCCTCCCTCCAGATGCAATAACATAAACTTGAACCGAAATGAATACAATATACAATAAAGGAGAAAACTATTTTTTGTTCAAAAGTACAAACTAATCAACATCCTTATTTACTTACAAGTTGAAACATTGTAATATATCGTTTCCACCAAAGTTTGCTACGTAATGATGGAATAACCGATAATCCATAATATGCATACATAAAAACATGCACTACTGAATTGAAAACTGGACCAAACCATGCTTGACCACCCTAAATATAATTAAAAAATAAAAATTTATATATATATATATATATATTTTTTTTTTTGTTGATTCCTTACAGGTATCCATGTCATAACAACCCACCAAATAAGAAGCATTGTTGAATGATGAAATACATGAAGAAATGTTATTTGTGTAAAACGTTTTCGTACAACCATAAATATTGTATCTATAAATTCAATTGCTTTTGAAAAATAATAAAGCCATAATGCATTTGTTATTTTCATTTCATTTTCATCATTCGATACAATTAATGGTTGACAAAGTAAATTATAGTTTCTACGATACATGCCAACGATAATCTTAAATATCGAATTAAAAAAAAAACAAATTATATTATAGACACGAATTGTTAACTAACTTCTTCAACCATATAAACTGATAAAACGACCAGTGACATATTATAAGTAAAAAGTACCCATGATGGTATATGAAATGCTTCTCGATGTCGCATATAACGTGGACCTAATGTAACAATTATCAAATAGATAAATGCTAATGTTAATGCTGGAATCGGATCTGTCCATAATAAAAACCAATCTTTTGTTCTTGGATCAGCATGTTTTAAAGCAAGTTTATAAGAAGGAATTTGTTTCATTAACCAATCATTTAACCAAGTCATTCTTCCAAATATAATCGTTGATCGAAAGCAAAAAGAAAGTAACAAAAAGAAAATTGTGTGTTGATCTAAAATTTTATTTAAAAGAGATTATTATATTATTAAAAATTATTAATATACTATAAACCAAACACTGTTTTCTATAATGAATATAAGACAATTAAAAAAAGACAACGAATATTAGTAGAGAAGCTTATACAAATCATGTCTTTTGGTTTTGTTTTTTTTTGCCATTTCTTAAATGGATAAATATATATGTGCAAGAATCGATTCTGGTAGTGCAAATGAATCATCAATAGATATTCCACTGAAAACAGAAACAAAGAAATCAATAAAAATAATTTTGTAAAAAAAAACAAAAGTAATTCATATATTACCTCAATTCAAGATCATATTCGTCCATATAACTAACAACTTCATCGTATAACATTAAACATATATTATTATTGTTAGATGAACGAGAAGAAGAAACTGAAATATTTTTCAAATGACCTTCACGTATAAGATATTCTTGTTCATCTTTTTCGGGTATGTACTAAAAACAAATACATAGAATTTGTATGAATAGAACATACTTAATCTTTTTCAAATAAGATTCTCTAGGGTCGATATTTGTTTAACAAAGGATTGTGTACATCTTACCGAAAAATGAATTCTAAAAATATTTGACCTATTTTTTTTATACGTATGAAAATTAGTTTTTAAGTTAAGAATGTGCAGATTAAATGGGACAATTTTTCAATCATTCCAAAATACTTCCAGAAAGTCCTTCGATAGAGAAATTTTTCATTCTATAAAACTGTTTCGTTTATTTTCCAAGTATATGTTTGTTGTTGAAGTAAAATTTAAAGTATAGACACTTGTTCGATCGTCTGCAATTTTTAATTTACTTTCACGACTTTTTCAAATTTCCTAGTGGTATCGTTCATGAGAAAAAAGAAGTTTAATCTACGGATATTTTTTTTCCATGCACGTCATAAAAAAACATGTTTTCTAAAGCACAACTTAGGGCATGAAATGTAATTGATAAGTTCGAGAGTTTAGGTCCTATTTCGTCGAAAGCTTAATTGATTTTCCTGTTGCGTCGAAAATTTATTTTTGTTCCATCCTCGTTTCGTCGAAAATGAAAAAACGATTATTCTCGTTTCGCCGAAAAAATAAATTCTAATTAATCAATGAAAAAAAGATTATCATTTATAAAGCATATTTAGTTACATAGATAAGAAATTATTAAGAGAAAATATGAGTATAGAAAAGAAAAAAAAAATCAATACTTTTTTATTTCGATTAATCGCATAAATTTTTCAAGATATTCCTTCAATGTTAATGTTTGTTGTTTAAAACGTTCTTCTAAATTATGTAATCGTGTATTTCGATTTACAAATAACTTTTTTTGTGGAGGTAATATACCAGTTGCTAAATGACGTGCTGATATTGCTAAATTATATGCATAATCATTTTCAATTGTACGAATGAATAGATAGAAGTGTGGATGCATAACAGTATTTAAATCATTATTTAATCGATGATGCCATCCTTCGACATGATTATTAGTCTTTGAACTTTTAAAATCATAATAATTTCCTCCACATATATATATATATATATATGTACTTTTGCAAAATTACAGATTACTAGTATAGGGATATCAATTAGTTTCTTGTTAAGGAAATAGTTTTAGTCAATCAAAGAAAATTGAGCTTGTCACTCTGATTATACTCTTTTTCACTACAATTTTCTTTTTCGACAAAACGGGAACAGTCGTTTTTTCATTTTCGACGAAATGGAAATGGTAAAAAAAAAAGTGTATCAAATTTTTTGACAAAACAGGAAAATCAATTAAGCTTTCGACACAACGGGAATCTACCGTTCAAGAGTATAAACGAATGGGTTGTATCAAATTAAAACAAAGAACAATCAGGTAATACTGTCAGACAAAGCTTTTTCTCAATTTTTACTTCAAGTAAACCATTGTTCAAAAAAATTTGCATCATTTTTCCGCTTTTTTTTGACTGTTAAAGTTCTATGATTAAGTACACGTTAATATTTGAAACTTTGCTCTGACAAGAAAATAATACTGTCTCGGTTAATCTGCGCCACCAGTTAGTTAGTGCACACTAACATCAGTGTTCACTGAAGCATTGGAACATACTGCTACAAGCAAGGCATATTTTACTAACGTTGGTGTCTCAATTTTCCAGCGAATCCCAGTAGGTCCTGTGATCGGCGACTGATCGTTCAGTATTTACACCGACGCTACACATCCTTAATTTTAAAGAATACTATCTTAGAGAGAACAAAAGCGTGAATAAAATGAGGGGTTGCCACATATTCTAGGAGCTTTCCTTATGCATTACAAAAAAGTGAAAAAAAAAACTGAAATTTATCATAGTATTACTAAAAAATATATTTTTTGTAAAACTTATAATTTTTTAAGAGAAAATAGTAGGAAATGTGATGCCTAGTCATTTTATTCAGAATTTTGTGCTCTTTAAGATGGTACTCTGAAAAACTAATTTTCGCGTAGTTTTTTGAGATCCAAAACCTACTGTGCTTGGCTTTTTAGAAATCTTCCTCTCAAAGTATATCTATAAAATTTCGGTATGGAATACATTTGATAGAGAACTTCATGGGCTTTTTAAACTACTATTGTAATTTGAATTAAATGCTTGATATCGTAGAAAAAATGTTGATCTTATATTTTTTACCAATACTATATAATAATACTCAAATATCTCTTAAAATTAGAAATTATATCAATTGTACTCATATTTAAATTGGGAAATGTTTCCTGCTTAATCAAGACAATTAAGTTATCTTTTTCATTACATAAATAAAAGAATTCAATTAACTAAAATATAAATATTTACTTTGAACAGATGACTATATTTCTTTTGAAATTGTTTTAATTGCTGTTGATATGTCATTTTATTACCATTATAATGACTATCATATTTACCCGGTATAATGTGACTAATAACAAATTTTGTTTGACTATTTATTGCAACTGGTGCAGATATAGATAGACTATTGCTAGTATTTTTTCGTTTTCGTCTATAATAGAAGATTTTTTTTTCAAGTTATTTTTTTTTTCGCAAGCAGTTTACTTTGCGTTGCCATTATTTGTGATAGTTGTCGATGGAAGAGAAGAAATGTTTGTTGTTAAATCATCTGTTGTTCGTGTTGGTAATATTGAACTGGCTGAGTATGTAGCTAAAGCCTACATAAAATATATAGTGAACAAACAAGAAAGATACGCCCGCGTGGCCTAATGGATTAAGGCATCGGACTCCTAAATTTCTTTTGAGTAGAGTCATCCGAAGAGTCCGGGTTCGAGTCCCGGCGCGGGTGTCCAAATATTTTGTTCCTGCGCTTAATTTCTCTTTTCTTTTCTTTCTTCGTTCTGTATTTTTTTTTTTGCATTACTCCATATGGTAACTATCAGAGGGAACACATGATTGAGGAACAAACGATGGATAATAAGATTTCATCTTTGTTAAAAGAAAAAGAATCCTTGCCCACGTGGCCTAATGGATTAAGGCATCGGACTCCTAGTTTTAATAATTGAACTGAGCCATCCGAAGAGTCGGGGTTCGAGCCCCCGCGTGGGTGGACAAAAAAAAATAACATTTTACTTTTAATATAATAAGTATTCGATTGTTATTTTTTTTTTCTTCTTATTGATTCGAAATTTTTCATCAATTCAACATACCTCAGAAACCATAGAACATAAACTTGAACGAATAGTTTCATCAGCTGTATTCGGTGCATTAATTCGATCAAAATAAGTCTAATAAAAGAGAAAGAAAATTTTTCTTTTTTATAATTTTAACATTAAAATTTCATATTTACCATTTTATAATTATCAAGTAATAATTTAAGTTCACGTTCTAATGGTTTATGTAGAATTAAACGCATAAAATCAATCCATTCAGCATCTGTAATTGTTACTTTCGATGATGATTGACGTTGTCTATTAAAACACAAAAGAAAAAAAAAGACAAATCAAAATAAATGTTTTATATAATCAATAGATAGTTACTTAAGCAGATTTATCTGATTCGTATAAGCAGCATTATAAGATTTTCTATTTTTTGTTTCTGATGGTGGTGGTACTAATAATGTAGATGAAGAAGCCATTAATGTATCAAGAATTTGTGGACGTTGACTAGCAGGAAGAGTCTATGATGGACGAAAAATAAAAAAAGATTTGATAGAGAAAAATGATTGGTTATATATATATTTTTTTCCTTACAAATGGTATAGATTTATGTGGACAATCTTCTGATGATGATAATAAACAACAATTAGTTGTAGATTTTCTTTGTTCACGTTTTTGATTCGAATTTATAATTTTTTCTTCATCTATTGTTGTATTTGTTGCTGGTAAACATAATGGTGGTGGTGGTAATTTTTTTGATCGTGCTAATAAATTGCTTGATGATGAATTTATTTTCATTTGTACTGAATCATCAACTGCTGTCATATTTCGTATTTGTTATTTATCGACAATCGTCAAAGCTTTGCAGAAGAAAACAAAAGGAAAGAAAAAAGTATCATTATGGAAACAAGTTTTTTTTTCTAACATTGTAATACTGACGTCTGTCTTCTAGGATATATAGTCAGAAAATAAAATTTACCATAAAGTTCACTATGGATGCGCTAGAGGGTGCTATAATAAAAGGATAAATGTCAAGTCAAGGTTTTTCTATTTTGAAATATAAAAACATTTAAAAAATTTTTTTTATATTGTAAACTGATTAATTAATATTAGTAATAAATAATTTATTTGTTGAAATTAACCAATCATTTTACAGATAAATTGTCTCTATTATTATAATTTTTCCAGCTGTATGAATCATCAAAATCCAATGTCGAACTAATTAAAAATTAATTCATGCAGTTAGAATGAAACTCATTTTGAAAAAAAAACCTATTTACATCATTGACAAAGATTATTTATTATATTAAATTCTTCTCATCAACTAAAATTAGGAAGTTGGGTTTTAGCGACATCTCACATATGAATTATTCTTAGATAAAGTCACAGTAGTGTAGGATTATCCTTTGTGTGAAATTCATCTTTGCTAAACATAAAATATATAAATGAATATACTGTCTAATTTAATATATTTCTATCATAATTTCTTTTTCTTACGTTTCTCGCAAATTCAAATGTCGCCTTACTAAATGCGTTTCACATTGATTTAGATTTTTCGCCACGCTTTATATCAGTAGGTCACATACAAATATGAAACACATTGTTATCTGCTGAAAATCTTCTTCTCAAAGGAAATATTCTGAATCTAAACGACAAACAAAATCAAATTATGATGAATGATTGATTTTGAAATCATTCAAGTGTAATATTCATTATAAATTAATATTTTGATTAATAAAAATATCAAGGTAAAATTAGGTAGAAAATGAAACTACAATTTTGATTAATACTTATATAAAACTGTTGTATGGTGATATGTGTAAATTGATTACTGTTCTTTTTCTACAAAATAAAAAAAAAGAGATAGTTGTAACTTCAAGTTCAGTAATTATAATAAAACAACTTGTTGTTTTCGATATAAGGTTTTGTTTTATTTTTAACGCCCTTTGTTCTACAGAAAACATAAAAATAATAATAATAATATAATTAGGACGTATAGCAAAAATAAACGAAACTTATCGTTTAGGTGAAACAAGATAAAGAAAAAAGAGAAAATAAATCATAAAATAAACGCAAAATATATAAGGTAGACGTCTGAAGAAACATCTATATACTGATAGTACAATATCCACCACTATGATATCAACTGACGCCATAATCACATACAAATATAGAGATAAATGAAAAACTGAGAACATAAGCAGAAGAAAAGAAACAAAAAACAAAGTCTAAAGTCTAAAAATTACATTTATATACAAATTCGTTTCTTTTTTTCAAATAAAACATAAGCCATGTTGACACGCTTCACAATGAAATTTATCATGTGGTGCACGCATTTTTCCTATTCGTTGATTAGGATCATGACGTGGACGTTGAGTAATTCGATTCATATTTTGAATCATTTTCGTGCCTTGTAATACATTATAATGAATCATTTTAGGAAAAAATTCATTAAATATTGATTGAGTTAAATTTTTCATAACACGACAAATTTCCTCTAAAACAAAGAAAAAGAGAATTTATTTTTAAAAATATATTAAAATAATAAAAGAAAGATAGATTTTTTTTTTAATAAAAACTTACCAGTATACCATAATGGATCAGCTACAGTTTCACATTGTTGACAAATTTGTCCAAAGATCTTAAGTATAACAAAACCATTCGATTGTGGTCGACTAATTTTAAATGATATTCGAGCACGCATTGATGTCCATAAACGACCACAGCAAGTATTTGGACATTTAAATTGTGCTTTTGCATTATCAAGTTTTACAAAAGCAAAGCCAGGCCATTTACATGGATCACTATGAACTTCATTTTCGGAGAAAAGATAATATTGTATATTAGGATAATTTATAGCAAGCGGACAGATTATATCACGAGCAAATTCACCATGAAATATTTCACATGCATTCGAACAAATATTCTTTTTTTCACTATCTGGTACATTTGCAGCAAGACAAACTAAAAAGAAACGATATTTAGTATTTTAATATTACAAGATTTATGAATTCATAATAATCAAAAATAGTAAATATTTTTATTTACCATCGTTATAAAGGTCGAAAGGTTGTTGATATATTAATTGTTCACTAACATTTAATATTTGATTTATTTCAAAATCTTCATCATCACAGGCACCAAATTGTGTTGATGGTTCATCATCGTCAATATTATTTGATTGTGATGGAACAAGATTTATAACTTGTTGATCAAAATCTTCAATACCTGAATCATTATCACTTGTTATTTGATCATGTTTATTTAATAATTCTCCTATATGTCGATGATCATTATCAGATGTTATTTCGATTATATTATGATTTTCAGCTGATGACCATCGACGAAGTTTTGATCGAGTCATTTTATCTGTACTTGAATAACCTGCTGCAGAACTATGTTGACGATGAAGTAATAACGAACCTGTCATATCAGCTATTTTTATATTTTTTTTTAAATAAACGACAATATATCTTTTTTTAAAATCTGAAAATAAATGTGGATATGGATCTTATATTTATATGTAAAAAGCAAAAAAAAAGGCTAATACAAAACCATTGGGGAAAATGCAAGTCAAGAGTAATGCATAACAACAAATAGAAGAAGGAAGAGAAGGAAAGAATGAATGAAAGAATGATTGTGTTGAGACACAGGAGATTTTCGTTTCCCCGAAAAAACAGAAAGAAAAAAAGGTGAACCTACATCAATGTGAATGTCTTTATTAAGAATGAAAAAACTTCTTTTCGTAAGTTTAAAACCGTAGAAACAATCTCAATATGTTTTGCCAGGTTTGTTTTTGACAAGATGAAAGCAAAAAATGAGCAAGAAGAAAACGGTATTACTTGGAAAAAAAACACAGAATAGGGAAAGAAAAAAAAGGTTTTTTCCCATTTTGACCTTTCTCTATCTAAGAATAGTCTTACATTTTAATGATGAAATTTCCAATGACGTGGATGAATGATGCAAGATTAGAAGAGAGAGAACCAATAATCGTTTTCTGTCTTATGCCTACCGTACGATTACAAATATGTCTGCTAGAAGATACGTTTATATATTTATATAAGAAGTAGAGAAAGAGAAAAAAGAGAAAATGATGTTCTTTTATCGTTCTTGCTCAACTATTACAATTTTTTTTTTTTGTAGAAATCAATTTTTCTTTTCTTTTATACTCTTTTTCTCACTATGAAGTATTTATTGCTAAATTTCCGAGTTGTTGTAATGACATGTTAGAGATATGTAATCTTTTTTATTTTGAAAAAATAAAAAAACAGAATGTTGGCAATAACAAATGAATTGATAATGATTGAATTAGTTTTTTTCCTTTCTATTTATAGTTATTTATTTTTAATAAAAGAATATAATCGACAATTGTCTTATCAAAAAACAAAAAACAAGACAAAATAATCATAGTTTTGCGAAACGGTTGAAGATTCATTCTTCTTATTTATTTTCTATGCGATACACAAAAGACATGTATCTTGCATAAACACCACGTCATATCTAACAGATGACTAAAACCTATGAATCATATGTATTATCTCTGACAAAATAGATTCTACGATCTAGGAAATCATTCATATGATATAATAAATACAAGATTTAAAAAAGAAAATACTAACATAGATGTTATTTTTTTTAAAAAATCTGTTTAGATCTGCTTTCATAAGAAATGTCAACAGAAGAATTGTCGCATATCATTCATTATTTAAGTGTCCTTGTGTTTTTTTTACAATTTTTACCGGTTGACAAATATTTTTAGAAGTGAATAAAATTAAAAAAGAAAATAATAGAAGGTAGAAATTTTTTATAAAAATAATAAAAAAATATATATGTATTATAATGATAAATCAATCTCGACGATTGAGAAATAATATTCAATTTTATCAAATATATTTGCTTAATCATTTTTGTTAATAAAACAAAAATTGCTTTTTGTATCTGATCATTACATACGGATTATTGTTGTAATTTTTACATAATAAACACTTGAATGAAATTTTTTTAAACTAATTTCTTCCTTGATATTGTCGATGAGAACCAAAGCAATATCCGTCATGACAAGCTCGACATAAATGTTGATGGTGAGGACCACTTGTTTGACTTGTTCGTTGTTGAAGTCCTTCCTCGGAAGAAGAAGAAGAATATTGAAATATTGGTAATGTAAAATTTCGATGAGAATAAAATTGTTCTATTAGTATTCGACATACATTTTTCATAACTCGAGTTGCTTCACTTAAATACCACGATGGTTGAATTTCGCTTCCACATAATCGACATTGTTGTGTACATAATTTTATATACAAAATATTATATTGATAAATTCTTGGGATTGCTGCTTGAAATATAGCTCTGCCACGTGCTGTTGTCCATTCATTTCGACAATTTAAACAACGATATTTTATTTTTGCATTATGAGATATTATTAATCTATCATGTGGATATAAAAATACTTGAGCTGGAGTATAATCATTCACATGAGGATCATAGTTCCAACCTATTGGTAGAGGAATATCTGTAAAATACAGATACCATCGTTCTAAACTATCATTAAAATTCCAATTTAAATTAATTTCCAATTCAGCATGAAATGCGTATGTAAAATTTGGACAAATTATAAATTTATCTAAATTACTCACTGAACGAGCTTGATGTACACATGTTTGGTAATCTAAATAAATAAAAAGAACAGGTTATTTTTATATTTACTCAAAATGACGTCACCTAGAAAATACCAAGTACTGTGGTTATGACTCATAATATAACGGAAATTAAAATGACTTACCATTTTCATTCAGGATTCTTTGTAATTCCATGAACGAATAAGAAAAAAACGATGAATATCTTATTCGTACTTGTTGATGTTAAATTGTTGTTATTTTCTTTTTTCTAAATCAATAAAAATTGTGTTCACTACTAGATCATAAACTCATGAAAAATACAATGAAATAATATTTTGATTTTTGTTTTCTATATATTCTTCAATTTTCCAATATTTTTTGATGGCATCTGATAATTATGAAGAAAAAGAATAATGTCATGTATTTAAAAAGAATCAACCTGGAATATACCATTCATTTCGATACACCTCCGTATTTCTCTTTATGTGATACTCATGACATGTGTTTATTTTTGTTGTTTCTAACACAGAAAGAAACAAGTAACCAACACTGATTTCCTGAAGTTAAAATGTTGGGTTTTTTTCCATACAACACATAATCATAAGTATACAACCTACGATTTTTTTACGTCATATTTTGTCTATTGCATAATTTCTTCAAATGACTAATACCTATTTCAAAAAGGAAGAGTGAATATTTTTTTTGAATAAATTTTGCTAGAAACTAGATAGAGCGGTTTGGTTCTCACCGTTTAAAAGAGGAGATGAAACTGCATCGAATAGTCTATATCAGATTTTTTTCTGATAAATTTTCTCAGAGTCTCTCGCCGATTTTTTTCGAAAAATGCAGACTTTTTAATAAGTTTATAAGGTGGATTTTTCGTTAAAAGAATGATAAAAAAAAAAGATCAATTTTCTATGAAAAATCTATCGATAACATGCAGTAAAATATATATAACTCATGATTGGCTAAAGGTTACAACATCGGACTTACAGAATTTATAGATCTTCAGCTAATGATTCTATTGCACTCCTGAAAATTGAGATCGTAAAAGTTTTACATTAGACAATCCTTTGTGTTTAACAAACTTGATGGTAGACTCTGAGAAAAAAAAAATTTAGTATAGACGATTCGATGCAGTTTCATCTCCTCTTTTAAATGGTAAAAACCAAACCTCTCTATCTGGTTTCTATCAAAAGTTATTCCAAAAAATACTCATCCTTTTTCTTTTTGAAATGGGTATTAGTTCCATGAGATAGCTTATTTAATTCATTTAATTATAAATGACAAAGTATTAAGACAAAAAAAAATATATATATTTATTTATATTTAACTTGTTGAAGCTCGTTTAATAATTGTATATCGAGTAAAGGATACAAGAAATATAACAAGACTAACAAATGTAATTAATATAAAATAAGTTATGAGTATAGATGCTAGTGCACATAAAACAACTGTTTTATGACACCAAATATCAGGATTTTCTAATAATTGTTCAAAATGTGGTGGATATCCAATAGTTATTAACCAATAATGACCTAAAAAAAACCATATTATAAGAAATGATGTCATTAAAGCATCAATAAATGCATGACCATCATTATGATCAGATGATGGTTCTTCATCATTTAAAACTTTTTGTTGTAAACGATATTTATGCCAAATATTTTGAAGAAGTTTTGTTGTCCATACAATACCAGCAACAAATAAATAAATTGGTAAATTTGTTTGACGTGGACAATCATTTAAATGACTAACACCTAAACAAAAAAAACAAAAAAAAGAAAAACTGTTAGTATTATCTTTATGGGATTAAAAAGGTGAAACATAATGTAGTTGCTATTACTAATCATTAGAAGATTGTTTTATTCTATCGATTTTCAAACATACTTTCTCACTGTCATTTTACTTAATCCTTCAGATATTGCGATAAGGAAGTAAGGTAATGGGAAAAAATTTACGAACATATTTTTGATTTTTTTTTTCAATAATGTTAAGCAATTATCTTAAATACAGGTAGTGATTTTAATAGCTAATGAAGTTTTCTATCTAATGCATTGTACACCAAAATTTCATACATGAACTATAATGGTAAGATTTTTAAAAAAAGTCGAATATGATAGTCCTTCTATGAAATCTTGCTATAGAATGCATTAAATAGAAAACTCCATTGATTATGAAAATAACTATCTGAATTTGAACTAATTACTTACTATTATAGAAAAAAAAAATCAAAAATACTTTATTTTTAACCTTTTTTCCACTACATTAGTTCACATATTATAGGATAGATGTTATTGAGATACTGTCTGTGATGGAGAAGGACGGGGATGCGTTTTCAAGGTATCTTTAATGTCTTCATGATATTATCTGTCCTGCTCTATGAGAGGAGGTAGCGTACAAATGGTTACTCTATATACTTCAATACTCGTTTTACATCATGTTTCACAAAAATACAAATATTTGTCGCTTGAAAGATAAAATATTTTTTTACATACCAATACCCATCATTATAATAGGAAGAATAAGAAGAAGACCAAGAAAAATTGTTGCTCCTTCTATAGAAAATAATTTATTTATAGATTTCAAAATTTTATGTATGTAAATTTACTTGTTTTCATAAGTACAAGTATAGTTTTTTTAACAAATTCAAATAATGATTCACAATCAGTATATTCTTCAATTAAACGTGAACGTAAACTACCATAATGAGGTGTTTCTTTATGAAAATCAATACTCCATTTCGATGCACGTGATTCACTCTAGATGAAAAAAAATTCAAATTATTTAGAAAAACAAAAGAATAGAAAAAGAAAACAAAAACATAATTTATTTAATATTTATTTTCATACTTTTTGTATTGTAGGAGCATTTCTCGATGATCCATCCCAATAGAACATAGAAGTAATTGATTGTCGGCCACCTATACCTCCTAAGGTAGCAAGAATAATAGAATAAGTTAATGATATTTGTCTATATTTACTATCATCATTCAAATTTTTTATGCTTAAAAATTGTGTTGAAATATCTGATGCTGTTGATATTGATGCTCGATCATTTGGTTGAGATTTAAATGGTACAGATGTTGATGTTATACGTCGATTTGATGATGTTATTGATGGAATATGTATTGATGGTCGTCGACATACTGTACTTCGACGACGTGAAAATGACTCTGCACGCCGTTTTAATTCTAATTGTGTACATACAACACTTTCAAATGTTAAGGAATTCTTGTTATTCGTTGATGTATTTGAAATCATTGTATTTAGACAATGAGTATGTGGCATTGTTCCTCGTCGAGCAGCCTATATTTATAAAGAAATAATAATTGAAAAAATAAGTATGATTATTACTTTAGGGAATCTAATTCAATGAATTACGGTAAATATGACTAAGAGACAAATGTTAAACATATGTCTCAAGTGTTCTATCAAGTGAAAAGAAATGTATAGCAGGAACATAACAAAAAAAGAAAACAAGTGTTTCTTTTGATTTATAATAATAGTCATGTCATTTTATAAAAGAAAATGAGAATATTTCTTTGCTCTTTTTTTTCTCTTATATTCAAAAGATGCCATTTTACAATGATTAAATTTAATAATTAATCAACAGAACAATAGATAAATCAAAGATTTGTTTTTTTTGTCTTACCGCTGCTAACATTGTCGATATTTTTGTTTTATAGAGATATTAGTTATAGTGATGTTTTTCAAGTAATCAAGAAATCTATTATCTGTTGAAGTAGTCTATCTTATACGATTTGTTTTTGACTTTTTTCTTCCGCTTTTTATCTCTCTCTCTCTCTCTTTTCACTCATTCAATTACATACATAGACGATTCCTTAGTAATACGATGAAAAACATCTTCATCTTTCTTTTTTTTGTTTTGTATTCGTTTGACCATGTCATCATCGAGAGTCGTTCGGTTTCTATTTAGTCACTTTGTTATTCTTGATTGTCATCTCGTTCACTATCTAGCTTAAATTTCTTACGGAAATTCAATTTTCTATCTGTACACTGTATATATCAAACAAAAAATCGATGCGCAATTTTTTTCTTCTTTCAATATTATTACATTCTACACACGTAGGATTAACAACATCAAAAGACGAAGATAAATGCTAATCATGTCTTGTTTTCTGTGCGTATGTGAAGTAACAAAAACGAAAGCTTTACATAGAAACAATTTGATTCCAAACTACACATTTTTTTATGTTTTACTTGCCTATTCCTATTTGTATTATTCAACAGACTTGAATTAATATATATATATAGTATATATATGTCATACCCTATTATATTTATATGAATAAATATGCTTAGAGTTATTTGCATATAGTAAAACTTATTTAGGTTCTGATTATCAAAGACAAACTACACTCGACTCAATACTTTATCAACCCGTGTGTAAGTATAACATTATTGATAATAAAAAAGACAATGGATAGTAAAATTTATTAAATATAATTGAGAGTAATAAAAGTAATAAATAATTATAAACGTATTCAGTACGTTACATGAATATTGTAATAATAATCAGTTTGAGTCATATGACAATGAAAAAGAAAAAAGATGAATCAAGAGTATTTATAACGACTAAGTTGTTATCATCATCACCTTCTCAAGTATTATAACAAGAGCTCTGAGAACTATCATCGAAAAACATCTACAACTCAAAGCAATATAACAATCAGTGACATATTCAATATGACCGTTTGTCTTTCAAGATTTTATATAAAGATAAGATATCATTGTTATCGATAACAATGATAAGTAAAGAAGATTGGTTTTATTTATGACTAAATTAGGTAAGAGATTATATTTCAAGCACATATATTTATATCAATATTATGTCTATTCATTCAAAGCAGAGATTATTTTTTTTCTTTCATAATTTTAACTTTACAGTTCTTCTAATAATCATATCGCTAGTATGAAATTCTAGCCACAATCATGTTTATCATAGACTAGTTATTATTTTCTCAGACACGTATTAAAAACTCACTAATATGATAATAATAAAAAAATAATATCAATGGAAGACTTTTTAATCTTCTTTTTTTTTCTCTCTTACATGTAAAATAACAATACTCAAAAGTAAATACAGATAATTGGTTTTTCTTCCATCTTTGTCTAATAATAAAAATATCGTTTTTTGGTAACAATAGAAAAGATTGTACTCAAAATAATGATTATATTTATATAACATGTAAGTTTGTTTTCAAGATTGACATATTGTTTTCACTGTTTATGATTATAAACATGAGTCTTTTTTTTTTTCATGATATTTTCTATCTGCTCTATTTCATGGAAGGTTACAATTCGATGATTTATAATGGAAGAGTTTTCTTTTTCTTTTCTAGATAAGTCTTAATTTTTATAACGGAACACTTGAATATGACAAGAGCCAGATATCCATAAGAAATAAAAAGAAAAATACATTGATAAGAGTGTCTATAAAAAAAACAATAATTATTTGCTCATTTATTCGTAGTTTATATTCAAGAATATCATCTAAAAAAATGGATTTTGTAATTGAATATAAATTACTAGTAATTCAAAGATCGATCAAAAGGATATCAATTGCGATATTTTTACATGGTTCAATAGAGTTCAATGAACTCTACAAGAATATGTATAATCAATTGTATCGATTCTCATTATGTTAGAAATTTATGGAGCAGCTTCTCTCTTTTTTTAGTGAATATGAGACCAGGAAAAAAGTACGTATTTTTTTAATTTTATATTTGAGTATTATTGAAAAAACCGATTTCTTTTATTCTTTAGGCAAAACAGTCACAAAATGTGGTTGTATCTTGTGGTTTTGACTATCGAAAATTGATTTTTATGCCATATAAATACGATTTTCAGGATTAGCACAAAACCCTTCATCGAATAGATTATATTTTATGAAAAAATATTTCTGGTCTGCACGGAGTGCTAGAGAAAAATTGACTGAAATCTAGCTTAGGAAATACGCAGCGGAGGACGAATTTTGACGAAAAACTTTTTTAAATAAAATATAATTTGTTCAATGGAGGGTTTTGTGCTGATCTATAAAACTGTATTGATTTTGCATAAAAATCAATTATTGATAGTCAAAACCACAAAATACATTACCACATGTTGTGACTCAATTGTTTATGGTATGAGGCAAAGGCCGAAAACGAATAGAATCGATTTTCGAACCAGTAAAACTCGGTTCGAACCGGCCACTGATATGAAAGAAATCGGTTTTCTCAAAAATGCTCAAATGTAAAATTAAAAGGATACATAACTTTTCGCTGGCCTCATGTTGAGAAAAAAGATCCTGTAAATTTCCAAGATAGCAAGAATCAATGTGTCTGATGTTAATGCATTTTAATGGAATTTTGGGTTCAATTTATTAACCTATTCTTTCAATACTACTCTTTAAAATATTGTTGATATATTTTTTCTTATAAAGCTCATAGAGCTCTATCGAACTACGTAAAAATACCTTAACTGATGTTTTTTCTATCGATATTAAATTGCTGGCACTTTTCCCCAAGGCAATGCTTCTGTATCTGTGATACTTGTTTATAATAATAGAGAACACTTGTTTTTATTACCTACATATATTGGAACTGTCATGCAATTGTTTCTTTAATACTCTTTGTTTAATAATTTATAAGAGGCTAATCTATCGAAAAAAAATCCTTAATTGATCACATCAAATATCGATATGCTAAGAAATCATTTCTAATATTAAAACAGAAGTAAAAATTTTTGAGTCAATTACTTACTTGACTTATGAGAAATAAAAAGATTTTTTCACTGTTATGAATTCAATTTATCGATTAAGTCTTTGAATGAAGGATAACGATGAATAAAATTCTTTTTTTAAAAAGTAAATTATTTATCTGATCTCACTTATCCTGTTAAAAATGCTCCACATTTGAAAAAGTACTCATTTCAATTTGATGTAAGAAATTCACTACAAATTGGTCGACAGAATAATATGCACTCGAACTTTTAATACTGCTGATAGGATTTATTACTATCATTAAGATTATGTTACTTCATAATGGATCTATCAGTAGATGATTTGCCTATGGTATAAACGTAAAATGATCCTTCTTATTCCATTTTCAATATATAATTATCAGCTTTTTTTTCTTTTATGTCAGACATGGTTAGTACATTAGTTCTAAAAAAAATCAGTGAAATGTAAATTTTTTTTCTAAGCTATAAAGATAACATTGCTGGAATTTAAAACTATAACCAATGAGTTAAAACTCTGAATAAAAAAAATCGTTTATTTTTATCAAAAACTCACGTGTTTATTAGATTCTTCAACTTTAATAATAGCTGAATTGAGATCAACTGATTTGTTTATTGTATATAGTTCTATTTTATTTGAAAACTTCTAGATGAAATAAAACTAATAATAAGAAAATGTCGAAAACAAGACTACGAGAGTACGCACACTTGAGTTTGACGATCAAAACAAAATAGAAAAAAAAGCCGAAAACAACATGAACTTGCTACTCTTTCTAATTATCATATATATACACATCAATATGCATGATTATTAATGTAAATTGAATAAAAACATTCTCTGCTAAATGTTGACTTTTGTAAGAGGAAAAAAAACAGATCTACTAATATCATGAGTAATTTCTCTTATTTTGCACATTTCTTTCATGTATAACAACAAATAGAATCAAATTCCTTAAATATAAACAAACAATATTTTTAAATGAAATGTCTCGAAGTCATTTTTTTTATCATCTCTAAGAATTGATTTAAATTCATGTGAGATATTCTACTTATTCAGTAGAAATAAGATGTATTAAAAAACTAAAATGTTCCTATTTCTGTTCTATAAATATACAAGTCAAAAGAAAGACATGAACGACTGATAAAGATGTTTAAGAGAGAAACCGTGAAGTCATTAGGTTTACAAAGTACTCGATAAAAAAAATTCTTTTTTTGTGCATTCAGACCATCCATGTCTGAAATTACCAACGCCAAAATTTTAGTATCCAGTATCGTTTCTTTCAAATGTTAGCCAATACTGACTTTTTACTCTCTATGTCATATGCTTATCAGAAAAAAAACCCAGGAAAAAGTACATGATAAAAGTTGTATGTGCTTTTGTTTCAATAAGTTACTCAAATTTTTCACGAACTAGATTAAAAGATAGAGAATTAAAAAGTGAACAAAATGAGATGTTACAATATAGTACATAGTTGATCGACTCAAGTTTTATAAGATTAACACGAATGAAAAATAGCTCTCTTGAGGAGCGCAAAAATGTTTGTTTGATAACAATCTATCTCTTGTCAGAATTCCGAATTAGAGAGTTATTATAAATGTTAAACAAGTTTCTATTCTATACAAAATGCCAAAAAAATATTCAAAAATAAATGATATGCTCGAAACGAAACAAGATTCACGTCTCTCTCTCTCTCGTACATACTGATTTTTCAATAGAATAAAAAATCATAGCAGTTTTCATTGTCATAACATAATTTTAAAGCAAAATAAACACGACATTTTGAATTAGCGTCGAAAACTATATTGAGTCAGATAAATTTTAGAGAAATTCATTTTAATGAAAAATTCATATGTGATCTTTCAAAGTTGTATTTTATTAAAATTTTACTCCGTAATACCTCAAAGATCAGTTTTTTGCAAGAAAAAATTCTCTAGAATATGTTTGTATCATTATACTTTTTGACGTTAATTCCGAATGTCGTGTTTATTTTACTTTAAAATTATGTTATGACAATGAAAACTGCTATGATTTTTTATTCTATTAAAAAATCATTATGTACAACAGAGAGACGTGAACCTTGTTTTGCTCCGAGCACACCATTTATTTTTAAATACTTTTTTGTCACTCTATATAGAATAGAAACTTACTTAATATTTAAAATAACTCTCTGATTCGGAATTCTGACAAGAGATAGATTGTTATCAAACAAACATTTTACGCTTCTCAAGAGAGCTATTTCTCATTCGTGTTAATCTTATAAAATTTGAGTCGATCAACAATGTACTATATTGTAACATCTCATTTTGTTCACTTTTTAATTCTCTATCTTTTAATCTAATTCGTGAAAAATTTGAGTAACTTATTGAAACAAAAGCATATACAACTTTTATCATATACTTTTTCCTGGTTTTTTTTCTCATAAGCATATGACATAGAAAGTAAAAAGTCAGTATTGGCTAACATTTGAAAGAAAGAATACTGGGTGCTAAAATTTTTGGGATGTAACTCCAGACATGGATGCATTGAATCCACAAAAAAAATGGATTTTTTTACAGAGTTCTTTGTGTACTTGATGACCGTATAATTGCTCTCTTAAATCATTACTTTAATAGACAATAAAAAACAAAATAAAAGAATTTCATTATTATTCAAGCATATACATTGATAGAAAGAATTTTATTCAATCGAATTATACTTATTCGTCAAAATCTTCATCATTTGATAGAGAAAATTTTGATAAATTAATTGCAAATCTTTGACTATGGAAATATAATAAATTATTATTTATATGATGATTCGAGATTCAGCATATAGAAATATCTTGAATTGCTATATTATTATCATTACACTTGTGCAAAACAAAATATTAATTAAAGATGTAATCTAAAAGAGAAACTCTATAGCATTGATTATTGGGTAAATCCTCATTTATGCATATAATGAAAGTGAGTTTTTAGCAAAAACTTTGCCGATAACACCAATCAGACATTTAGTAGAACTGTTTGTTGTGGCTATTACTCTCAAAAAAAAAAACTTGAATTCAAAATTCTATTTTGAAATATTTGACTTTCATTGTATTAGTGGCGTAACCAGAATTTTGACAGTGTGAAACTCAGATCTCTGGCCTCTGTTCCGTGAAGGACTTTTTCTAACACAGATTTGATCGATGAAGAGGAAGCTAATGATGGAATCTCTCCAAGTTTCAAATCGTTTTTCGATCGAGACAGTGCTCATTTGATGAATACTAGTGTGTGATAGAGATTTCTAGAATGATTTGATTTTTCAGGCCTTCATTTTTGAGATGTCAATATTTTACTTATTTCTCGACAGAAAGCTTTCATTGGGCAAGTTGTAACTTTTCCCATTGAACATCGTCTCTGCCGAAATACAATTCGACATCTGAAGAGATTCCCTTACTTACCCATCCTTTGATTGTGTTATGACATTGTATGTATGATCAGATTAGCAGTAATTGCCAATAAGTTCATGGTTTATTTATCATTTAGATAAATGTTTTTTTTGATTCTTCGATTTTTTAGTTCGTAACTCAAAAAAAAAAAAGAATCTGATACAAACTTGATAGCTGAAAGCATAAAATATTTTTGTGTAATAAATAATTTTTATCGAGTTTTTTGAAAATATTAATGAATGAAATATTATATATAAAAAATTTTCATACTAATCCTTATCTATTGAATTTTCTTTAAATCAAAGATCATACATAAAAATATATCTGCCTATAACAAATAAATTGTTGGCAAATACTTAATTCCTCGAATTTCTCTCAAAGTGAATTTGCACAATCTATCGATTGATAATATTTTCCAATATTCGTTGGCCATCTATAATCACTATTCATAAAACAGAACAAAAAATGATGATCATTTATGATGATGATTTTAATGATAATTATAGCAAGCTGACGCAAGGCATTCGAGGCACCTACAACATCTCAAAAAAAAAATTTTTTTCTGTTAGTTTGACTTGAAAAATGTAGAGGTAAAATATGGATTAGTATTTTGTGCTGAATAAAACTTCTATTAAAGACATACTGAGATGATTCATTAGAATACAAATATGTATGAAATATGTATCCTTATATTTCTAAACTCATTATCAAATGATATCTACGGCTTTGCATTCAGTAGACCTATTGTCTTATCTTTCAACTAATCATTTTAATAATGTAAATAGATTGAGATTATTATTATCAAACGACTTATATTTGAATTCTATTTTTATCAGCTTAGTATTTCGAAATTATTCAATGAAATTTTGTTGAAATAAACAGAAATATATATCTATACTTATCCTGCATTTTCAAATAAAATCACGTACATTAAAAGAGATAAGATATTATATATAATTTGTTATGGCTTCATTTTTAAATTTCTAGAATGGTAGAGAATGATAAAATATCGAAATTTTCTTTGGAAAATATTGTTGATAATTTAGATCGAAATGAATTAAACTCTGAATGTCAAAGATGGGCTCTAATCCATGGCAAGTCTATCAATTTGAATGTTTATCTCTTATCTTATTTTCTTTTCTTTTCTTTTTTTCAATTTATTTTAAGGTTTTGTTCAACGTTGTTTTACGCACAATGATAATACTCAGAATGATTCAAATGTTATTCCATATCCATTTACAATCTATCCATCATCATTTCCACGTAATGAATATGAAAAAGCATGTAAAATTCAATATGGAATTCATATACTTGTTCAATATCTTGCATATGATATTGATTTAATGGATTCTATTTTGAAAAAGTTAACAAATTCAATAAGAAAAAAAAATAGATTTTTTTTTATAAAAATGCTAATAAATATATTTAGTTTGATTGAATGTGATCCATTTATAAGACGATTAAGAAATATCTATAATCAAATTCAACAATTACCATATAAAGTAAATTATTATATAATTGAAATTAAAAATATCTGCTAATAATAGAGTATTGCTGAAACATGTATTATTCGAACAGATTATATGTTACAACAAATGAATATTTTTAGAGAAAGAACAAAACTTCGTCTTGTTGAAATTAATACTATTGCTGTTGGTCTTGGTGCAGCAGCTAAACTTATACATAAATGGCACAAGTAGAATGATTCATTTTTTTTTTTATGTTTTGAAAAGAATAATTTTTATTTTTAGACGATTTTTAAAACGAATACATCCTGAACTTTTATCACAAGTAAATTAAAAATTTTTATAAAGTAAGACTTTATTTTTTTTTATTATTAATATAAGTTGCCGAAAAATGAATCATATGATCTTATTATTGATACTTTATTTAAATCATGGAAAATTTATAATAATTCAAAGTTTGAAAATCTTTTCGTTCTTTTCTTTCATTGATTAGCTTTTTTTTTCATTTTTTGTTTTTAGAGCTATAATTCTCTTTATAGTACCTGAACATGAATTTAATATTGGTGATCAAATGTTAATTGAAAAAGGACTTTTATCATATGGAAATTCTTCTCTTCTTATCAAACATGTAACATTCATCGATATTTGTCAATATTGTTCTCTTGATTCCAAAGGTATTCTTTACTTGTAAGCTTTTATTTTATTTCAATTCTTATTCGATAATAAATTAATGGTATCTTTTTTGAACAAATTTAGTAATGATTTCGAAGTTGCACTTATCTACTATCGATCAGCATACGATCCGAAACATTTTTATAATGAAGATGTAAGAATTATTGATGATATTTTTTTTTGTGTGTGTGTCGTTTTTTTATTTATAGATTTGGCAAGCTTATATTATGTTAGAATCTTCTCGAGCTATAAAATGTCCTAGTTTAAGATATCATTTAGCTGGAATGAAATGTTTTCAATTGGCATTAGCTGAAAAAAATTTTTTAGAAAAAATTTTTCAAAAACATGAACAATATATTGATGATATTCGAGATATTTTAGAAGAAATGTTTACTATTGATCAGGTTGAATGAAAGAAATATTTGAATGTTTTATTTTTTTATTAACGATATAGACGATCAATGATTCGATTTTACAACAACGAATATTAGATAAACCGGAATCATTCTATTTGAAACAAAGTCGAGAAGGAGGTAAATATTCAAATAAAAAATAACTGATGAAAGAATATTTCTAACTATTGAATTCTATTGTATTTCATATTATGGATTTCAAGGTATTATTGTAGTACAATAAAAAAAATTGTGTATAACGAAATTATTCGAGTTTGACTTACAAGCTATGTAAACGAGAGTAAGATAACGCAGCTTTTTTTAAAATTTCTTCGTGGTACATGATCAGTTAAACTATATTTATATTATATATACTAGCTGACATTCGTTAAAGATGTAGTATAAGATCAGCATCTAGATGTAATGTAATTTGTTCAGAAGCGTACAAATACTGAGTGACTAAAAATAAGAAAACACGATTCGCGGTTATAATTTTTGCTGTTACAACAGATATTATTTTGTCTCCTTTACTAGTATTTATATATGCTCTAGTGAAGATATCAAATAGATACAACACAAGCAGTTAACTCTTGTATTCGGTGATTTATTTTTCTTTTCTTTGTAATCTCGATTTTGTGTAATAAACGTTCTGTTAGAACTCATGAGGGAACTCATCCAACTGATAATTTTTGTTTCAATTCATATTTTGCTCGTAGGTAGGTAGGATTGACTCATAGTGTAGATAAAAATTCTGTAGGATTTGTGATATTAGACCTTTTCTCTCGAGCTATGATCGTTTTATTGAATTTTCAGTCTATTGCAGAATATCGCGAGGAAAGTCGCGACAAGAAATTTCGCGCTAAAATTCTCCACAAAATAGCTCGCAAGGTTATTATGATATTCTGAAAGTTTCAGCTAAAAGGAATGTTTCTCTTCTAAGATAACACATTTGCAAAAAAACGTTACTTGCATACAAGAGTTCCAAGAATAGTCCAGTTTTTAGGCATATAATATCTTAAGAAGAAATTATTTGTTTGAACTGAAATTTCCGGGAAATCATAAAGACTATGAGAGTTATTGTTGAGGAGAATTTCAGGCCGAAATTCTTTGTTACGATTTTTCTCGTGACATTTTACAATAAACCATAACACGAGAAGAAAGATCTAATGGCACGAACATTTTTTAGAAACTTTATCTACACTATCAGTTCTCCCTATGAACTCAAACAAAGATTATCAGTCAGATGTGTTTGCTCACTCTTGGGGATTTTATACTTGTACGCTTTTAAATAAATAACAGTAAATCTAGATACTTGATCATGTGCTGCATCTTTGACTAATGTCACTTATATATGTAATATAGATATGAGAGCCAACTGATCATGTACAAAAAAGAAATCGAAAAACTCTGTATTATTTTACTTTTGGATCACTCTGCCTGTTGCCAAAATGTCTAACATCAGATCTCTGTACTAGATTATCATAGATCTGGATCATTTTAGATTTGTTCTACTCTCATAGAGATCTATGCATCATAAAAATATGAAGTTAAACATTGTTCGATCGTTTCAACAAAAAAAACAAAGTTCTGTTGTTAAAGGATCTTTAATAAAACTTATCTAAAGGAAATATAACACCATAAATTTAGTAAATAAAATGACAGAATTTTTGACCTATTACACAAAAACAAAAAGTTAAATATGTATCTAATAATAAAGTCGATAATGTTATAGTCAGCTTTAAACAAATGGTTTAAACAATATATTTTATTATAGTTATTAACTGATTCTGAATCGAGTTTGTAAACTAATTTAAAGTTAACTCTCAATTGAATTAATTACATTTATGTTAAATAACATGTGATACGAAAGTAACTAGGCAAATATTGGTTCCTATTTCTTTTCAGTTGAAAAATACTGAAAACAACCTTTTTTTTTTATGAGCAAATAAACAATTTTTCCTCTTTTAGGTCATATACAATTTATTTATATCGAATAAGAATACAAAATATGAAATCTTTATATCTCTTTGATAAAAATACGTGTTTCAACAATAACTTTTTTTTCAACCGATATTAAATTTTCTTCTCTTTCGAACTGTATTTAACTTAATTTTGTTATATATTCATAAAGAAAATAATACCAGAAAGAAAGAGAAATACTTGTAGAAGGAATTTGCAATTTTTATATTGATCTATTAGATAAGTCATGTAAAACGTCAGTTAAGTATATTATAAAGCAAGACATTCTAAGAACAAATATTTGAAATATGGACAGACCAAAATTTTTATTAAAAAGTGATCCTTCAGTGAAACTTTCTAATCGAAAATCAAAACACCTGATGAAATCTATTCATAATCGTTGCGGTATTAGCCAATGTAAATTAACTAGGCGTTTCAGCATTAACCAATCAACTATCAATTATTATCATAAATCATTGGAATACTTCAAAGATGGACAAGAAAGCTCGAGAAACAAAGAAAAGCTAGAACGAACTTCGGAAAGTTAAATAAAATGATCCATTATGATTCTGATATTATTTTAGACAATGAAAATTATCTAAATCCAAAAAGAAAACTGAAAATCGTGATTTGGTTGACTATGTCATTGAAATAAGTTTCGAATGTATAATTATGAAAGTTACAGGTTCATTTTGTTAGTGCTTCTATCTTCTATTGTATCATTTCGTTTGTAAATCTGTGACAACAAACAAATTCTATACTATTCGGCAGAGAAAAAAATTCTCTATTTTCTAATCCAAAAAAGTTTTCTTTCACCACTCTTCTATTCAACAGAAATAGGGATCGATATTTGTTCATTTCCATTTCGTATCACATATTATATAAGATTTCAATATTTTTAAGTATTATCTTAATTAGATTTGTTGTATATTTTTTGGTAATAATCAAATTTTCTTGTATATTTTTAGGTGGAAATGTGTATTGTGGTTCTTCACTTAGGTAAAAAGATCAATCTTAGTTTCATTTCGTTTTTTGTTTTTTTATTATTTACTTATCCTTTTTGTGCATAGAGAACATATTGATAAAATTATTGCCAATAAAGAATCAAATCGTTATTTTCTTATGTCTCGTATATATCCTCCAATAAATTCAAGTTTAATACGTTCATCAAGACCTAATGATAAGAATGAATTTATTTTTGAGAAACAAATCAATGGTGAATTAGGTATATTTGGTAGTTTAATTAGTCAAAATGAAATAGTAATTTATGAACGAGTTGGTGGTTCTTTATTACGAAGTAAACCAATAATAAATATTGAAGGTGGTATTGCATCTGGACAAGGATTTATTGATTCAGTATTGCTTGTTTAAAAAGAAAAAAGCTTTATTTGTTGTTTTTTTTTTGTTATTTGTCATACATTTTTAATAATTTTGTTATCAAAAATAAACTGATAATGATAAAGGGAAAAAAAAAATTACAAATGGAATAATTAATATATTTTATTTGAACAATCTGACAATAAATTAATATCAATTACGAATGAGTAATAAGTCTAATACCACCCATTTCAGCAAGATGATGAGAAAAATTACCAGCTGGACATGTTATAAACATAAAATTTGTTGGAATGTCAAGTCGTTCACTAAGTAATTTGACTGTTGGTGGATCAAATCGACCTTTAACAAGTATCTAAAATAATTCAATTAAATAAAAATTTTCAAGATACAAAAGAAAAAAAAAGAAGCAGAATAAACTAACCAAATCAAGACAAAGTTTTGGATATTGTCTATCAAGAAATCTAATATTCATTTCTAACATAGGTGGAATTTGTTGTTCATTTTCATAGACATGACATATTTTTAAAAGATGTGTTAATTCATTATCTCGTACGTATAATATAGCTTTATTTAAAACAGATGGATCATCTGTTCGTGTAAAAAATAACATTGGACGATCTTCAATTTTTTTATATTGTCGATTAAGCATTTCTAACCAATATTTTGGTCCACCAAAATAAATAAAAAATTTTAAAACACGATTTCTTGAAAACATTAACATAACAATAAAAAATGTTATACCAAAATATAAAAGAAAAAATTTTATATGAATTAAATTAAGTGTTATTTCACCAATAAGACCAATTAAAACAAGTAAAAATCCTAATATAACATGTGGCCAAGATGCATAAATTTTTCGTCGTAATGTTGAACGTTTATATTTTAATATCATATTACCAACAGCAAATAAAGACATAACACTTAAAAATGATATTGAATATACACCAGCAAGACTTTCTAAATTACCACGAACAATAAAATGAAGTAAACTTGTAACAAGAAAAAAGCCAATTATTATAAAATGATTTGTATCACGCCATCGATTTGTATATGATAAAAATATTGGTAAACATCGATCATAACTCATACGACGTATTAAACCAGTTATACCAACATATGATGTTAATACAGCACCTGATAGAACAAGTAATGCATCAGCTGAAATTAATTTTGGAAGCCATAATGAAGAACCTGTTTGAAGTGTTGCCTCACCCATAGCAGCTAAAAGATCATCACGATGTTGAAGAATTACAGAAAGTGGCATTATGAATAAAGACAATAATGAAAATACTAAAAAGAAAAAATATCATAACCATTTCATGTGTTTTATTAAGTACGATCAGATTGTCTACTAAAAAGAATCACTAGTTTTTTTTTTGCGATACAAGGATATTATAAATATTAAATTCTCTATCAACAAAACAAATTGGTTTCGATCATGGTAAACGAAAATCAACTTAAGATATCTTTTGCTCATTTTTCTTCTATCACAAATCGTAATATATTATTAACTAACATCTTTTTCCATTACGGAATAGAACGAATGATAAATCTTTTTTGAATATTTTCGTTTACAAAAAGAAAAATTAATCTTTATGACGTCCTCACATTCTAATCTTTCGATGGAATTCTGCTAGAAGTAATTCTATATAAAGATAAAATGTAAAACAAATCCATAACTTACATGGATTGAATAACGAAACCACATACCACATATTTCTTAATGTTTTTGGAAAAACTCCAACATTTTGTTCTTCAATATAATTAGATGAAGTTTCAAAACCACTAACACCTAATAAGGCTAATGCAAATCCATAAAAAATACTTTCAGGAACATTACTTAAAGGTTTTGTTTGCCAATTTTCTACAAACATAGCTATTGAATCATATGATCGCATTATTTTTATTAAACACATTATTAAAAGTAATGTCATTGCACCAACATGTATAGCAAATATAACTAAAGCAACATTTGCTGATTCTTTCAAACCTAATAATGTTAATAAACAAAAGAATCCTAATAAAGCCATAACTGCCCATGATGGATCAAGTCCAGACCATAAATTTTGTCCATAAGCAATAGCTGAACTAGCTGATACAACAGCTGTAGCTATATATGAAACTAATGTTAAACAAGCTGCAACCGATGCAATTAATTTTGATGTACAATTAAGTAAAACATTATATGCACCACCATTTAACGGAAGAGCAAGACCAACTTCAGCATAAATATTACGAAATAAATAAAGAACAAAAGCTACTAGATATAAGGAAATAAATGAATATTGACCAGCTATAATAAAATAAGAGATCTTAAATATGAATAAAATAAAAACAAAAATCAAAAATTCATTACCTTTTTGTGCACATATTCCTGCAGTATAAAGACATGATGAAGAAATATCATTACCAGCAATAGCTGTTGCATGCCATTCACCCAACAATTTGTGACTTTTATCAATATCTTTTTTACGATGAATTAAATTACGAATACGATCTTTACAAGTTATTTCAGAATCTATTGATGTTGTAGAAACATATACTTCATTGAGTACGGTTGATACTGGTGTTGAATTCGTAGGACAAGCAGAAAGATCAATACGAGTTACTTCACCCCAACGACCAGGAAAATCCTAAAAAAATTGTAAAGTTTGTTTTTTGATTAATTTTAAATAATTTAACAAAACTAAAAGAAAAAATAATAATAACCCAACAAGCCGAATGTCTTGTTCTAGCATATTCCGATGGTAAAGAAGCTCCTTGAGTTTGTATAATTAAAGGTGCAGTTTCATGTGTAGATATTAATTCATCATCATCATCATTTAGTATAGTTGTTGAAGCCATTTTCTAATCTAAAAAATATTTTAATGATTTAAACTGAATAATCTTCTACGTTTATTTTTTTTTACTTTATCTAACATTTGTTTTATCAAAATTTATAATTGATATTTTTAGATATTTGTTTTTCTTTTTTCTTCTCGTACTTTCGACTGAGTTATTATTTCAAAGTTATCATGTTTTTCTAGGTATACGATAGCAAAACAATGTTTTATGAAAGTGAATGAAAAAGAAAAAAAAAGGCGACGATGTATTCTAATTGGTTCATTATTTTATCAAATAGTCGTTACTGTTTTATTCTAATTGATAGTAGCTCCAGGTATTGTTCGATATTTACTTTTTACTAATTCGTTTCATTTTATCACTTTTATATATATCATATGATATGTTTTCTATGGCTTCATCAGACACACCCGAACTTGAAGATCTTCCATTTTATCAATTATTAACATCGAATTTTAATGATTTATATCTAAAAGCTCAGGAAGCATGTTCAATAATTGTTATACCACAACATCTATTAAATAATTCTACGTTAACACGTGACATATTTGAATCACATCTATTTCGTCCTTCGCCATGTTATCTACGTAAACATGTGTCATGGAATGACAAATATGAAATTGAGTTTGATAATAATCGCACTATACGATTTTTTTATAAAAAAGGAGGTGCAGGTGAAAAACATGTGAAAATTTTAAGTCAAGAAGATGTTCGTGATAGTATTCGAAAACGTTCTTATAGTATATTAATTATCGAACAACCATTAATTGATATTAATGGAATAAAAACTTCACAGAATGGTTCATTAGGAAAAACAATAAACAAACCTTTTACACCACCGGTAAGCTTTAATAATTGTTGATAAATCCAAATAGAGAAAGATTCACTTTTTTTTTTAAATATGCAAAGAATTATTTATATCGATCCTCTCGTTATTTACGTAAAGTTGTAACAAACGAAGAAAACATTGAGCATGACTCATTTTTATCATTAAAAAGCATATTTGTCAATAACATAAAATTCTTCATATTGACTTCGATCTCAATCGAAACAGAACAAGTAGATAAAATCGAGATTTCGATATGGAATACTCGATAGTTTTTGAGAAGGATAAATTTTTTTGTTAATCATATCAATAGTTAGTCTGTATGTACTGCAAATTTTAAACAAAATCTACTTTCTAGAAAAATGAATAAGCAAAAGCTCAAACATTTTCAAACTAGGATTAATCATCGAACAGCATTATAGTTTTCAGGAAATGTTTGATTTCCAAAAAGTAGAATTTTAATCCAATTCTCTGAAACAATTATTTTCGAACGAATTGGAAAATCAATTAAGATTCTACAAAAAAAAAGGGAGTAATTAACATTACTTTTTCGAAAATCATTTAAACAATGACGACGATAAAGTCATTGTTTAGTCACATAGGTAAATCAGTCGACGGTGTGGAGAGTTCATTCTTTTCTTCGGCAGCTGCAATGAGTATGTGAGTTATATAAACTGCAGCTGGCGCATACTAGTTCGTCATACAATAATTTAAAAAAAGCAATAAATTTTTATTATTGGTCATGAGAGATATTCAGTATAATATTTTTTCTAAAAATATTTCTGATTTTTCTCATTATTTGTATTTTTGAACTATATACTGACCCTCATATATCGTCCTTGCATTTAAAATTGATTGTTCACTTTGAGATATTTTCCTTATGACAAAAGTGTTCATTTTATATAATTATACCAACTAGAATAATCTTTGCATGTTTAATTAAGTACATAAGAGCGATTTCCTAGTAACTATGATATTACTTTTGTATAAAATCACAATCTTCTTTCAATACACGTATACGAAAATTTTTGCATGACAATTATAAGTGTTGGTATAGGGAAAATAGACATGACTATACTCATATTCACGCTCTCGTTATAACATCTCTAGTACTATTGTCTGTATACGATACCGTATTCTTATCGTAAAGATGTCGTAACGTAGCCATATTCTATCATACATATGGTCGTACTACTGGCCAGGTATTTACGAAGATATACAGCTCTGTCAACATGCCGTATTTCGTCGTAAACGGGCCGTATTTGTCGACCAAGGTAGATGTTCTATTTTCTGAAAAATGTTCAAAATACGAAATCAAGTTCGATATTCTAGAAACGTCCATATGAATACGACCGTGATTTTCTAACGAGAAACTAAAAACTTGAATTTCGTATATTCAAGAAAATAGAAATTCGTTGTCGAATTCATACAGGTATTTCTAGCAAATGCTTTTCGGTTCTCTATAATTTATTTTCTATTTTACAGTGTATAATAAATTGGCAAAATAATCCATGTATTAAGTGCCCAGAAACTATCGTCAGTACACCGATCGGTATAATGTGTGCTATATCTGCGGTTTTTTTTTTGAAAGTGTTGTATCATAGTGTATTGGGGCAAAATGGGTGAATATTTTTAAAGTGTGTTAAACAGGGAGTTGCGGGTCCACGAAAACGTGAACTCGGAACCGGAAAAAATTTAAAATTTGGACCCGGCCGGATCCAAACCCGAGGTTTTTTCCATCAATACCTGGCGCCCTTCGTGTACATGAACAAGTAAAGGATCAAGGTTTTAGCTATTTATTCACTACCCTAAGGAAAAAAATTCAACGTACAGTTATATCTTGTTGTTATATGTTTCATCTGAGGAGCAGTGAGTCTACAAAAACGTGTAACCGAGTCCAACAAAAAAAACTTTGGGCTCGAGTCCGGATTCGGGCCCGGATGTGGAAGGACCTGCAGCTCTCTATTGTTAAAACTGACAAAATTGAGTCGATTTCGATGGACTCTGATAATGTTGATGCGTCTGAGCTGTCTGTACTTGCCATACAGTGCAAACTGGTTCCAGTTATAATATAAATTTTTATGATGGATGCTCTGCAAAAACTTTTTATTAGCAAAATATATTCTAAAACTTTTCTTCTTAGTTAATTTGAATTCTTTCTAATAAGTAATTCGAATTTGGATAGAAAACATTCTCTACAATCGTCTATAACTGTAATTGAAAGTCGTAAGCGCTACCGCCGATTCTTATGGATATCGCGGTATATTGGTAGTAGTGCGAACAAAAGTGCGACATGAGAAGTTTTTGTGTCTTAAGTAAATAAATATATCTTCCTTCTAAATGACAAATTCAATCTCTTATATAGGCACCTAAATTTAATGGAGCAACAGCAAGTTATGAAGCATCATTTATGTTTCTTGATTCCGTACGTCAAATCGAACCAGCATTTGCACGATTACGTACAGCATTATTTTTATTTAATGAAACATATGTTATATTACCGAAATATGTTGAAAATGCTCTTGATAAACTTCGTCAATTAAGATCACAATTTCTTCAAGAATCATATCAATTATTAAATAAAAATTGTGAAGATCGTGATATTGAATTAGCAAGTGAAATTTATATAACTGGTAATACATATACAAAAGTTTGGCCAATTATTATTCAACATAATGAAAATAAAGATCAAATATTAGTTGAAAATATACAAAAACGTCAAAAAAAAGAACAACAAAATTCTAATCAAACTAATTTAAAAATAAATCAAAATGCATTAAATGAATTAAAAAAACTTGATGATCTTAAATCAGCATATGAAAAAGCTAAATGTATTCGTTCAGCACTTGATTTAACAATGGCAGCTAAAACATTGATGGTTGTTGATCCAAAAAATTCTGCTGTTTCATATCGTTCATCATCAAATGCAATGCCAATGGCAGCTGATGAAACATTAACTGCATTTATTGATCTCATATGTGAATTAATATCAACATCAGAAATAAATACGAGTATTTGTTTAGTTGCACATGAATATTATACAGAAAAATTTCGATTTTCTTCTCTTCCACAAGATATTGATTATGCATTTACAACTTATCGAGGTGTTATTGAATATTTAATAAATAGTTCTTCTTGGTTTTAATAACAAAAATGAGAATGAAATGAATTAATCGAATTACAAAGCCGGTGATTTTTCTTTATCTTCTGTTTCGACAGATATGTGTCTTTTTTTTCTCTTTTATTAAATAAAAATGTAGAATAAAAAAAAAATTTAATTTATATTTATGTTGTTCCATTAGGAGCTGTACGAGTTTCTTTTGCTGCTACCTTAGAAGCGGCTGATGATGTTGTATCTTCTGGTGGAGGTAAATTATTTGTTTGTTGTTCGATTATATCCATTAAGTCATTTGCCTATAAAATATTTTCAATGATTTTGGTTTTTTTGCAATTAAATAAATGATACAAAACAAAAAATAAAATAAAATATTAACGTACTGTAGTTGCTGATGGAAGATTTTTTAAATGATAAACCATAACTGAACCAGTACTAGTACCGGCAAGAATACACTGAAATAAAATGAAATTATCAAAGAAAAAATTTAAAAAAAAAAGAAAACGAAATAAATACTTCAGAATTTGGTGCATATGTTATCGCAGTAAATATGTATTGTTGAGTAGCTAATATGACATTTATTGGTTCAAGTCTATTAAATAAAAATAGAAAATTCATTTCAAAATTATTTAGATCTTAAATATATTCTCTTTATGAATATATAGGGTAGTACATAATGAACTTTACGAGGAAAAATTTAAATATCTCTACTCGGTTTCATTCTATGGAGCTAATTTTTTTTACGTTCTAGAGAAGAATTCCGATTTTTTTTGTCTATAAGAACAACATTTATAAAT